GCCCCCTCGGGCCGGGGACAGGGAAGGGGCCGCCGGGTTCCCCTCGGCCGGCGGCGGATTCAGGCTCCCCGGCGTGGCTCTGTCCCGGGAGCTGAACTCAAACTTAACAGCGATATCGCTGGTTTATTTGTCACGCTTTGAGGGATTTTTGGATGGAAAATACCATACAGCAGCGCTGAATGTGCTTCTCGCAGATCCTGCTTTTCCTAAAATACCCGCGAGTCTGTGCAATGCATGTTTTTTTCCCGCTAGACAATGAATGACTGGGCCCCCATAGCGAAGGAGTATGACCCCCTCAAAGCCGGCAGCATCGATGGCACAGATGAGGAGCCCCACGACCGTGCCATATGGAGGGCAATGTTGGCGCGCTACGTACCCAACAAGGGAGTTACAGGAGATCCTCACCTCACCCTCTTTGTAGCAAGACTCAATCTTCAGACAACAGAAGAGAAGTTAAAGGAGGTCTTTTCCCGGTATGGAGACATCAGAAAGATTCGTCTGGTTCGAGATCTGGTCACAGGATTTTCCAAGGGTTATGCATTTATTGAGTACAAAGAGGAGCGTGCTCTCTTGAAGGCCCACAGAGATGCCAACAGACTGGTTATTGATCAACACGAGATCTTTGTAGACTTTGAACTGGAAAGAACTCTCAAAGGATGGATTCCTCGGAGGCTTGGAGGTGGCTTTGGAGGCAAAAAGGAATCTGGGCAGCTACGGTTTGGAGGGCGGGACAGACCTTTCCGAAAGCCCATCAATTTGCCAAACATGAAAAATGATTTCTATGGAGAGGGATCAGCAGAGAAAAGAAACTGGTCTCGTGAGGGAACAAGGGACTGGAGAACAAGGGACCGAGACCATGAAAGGAGCAGAGACAAGCGATGGCCAGAAAGGGAGCGGTCGTGGGCTTGGGGTGAAAACGAGAAAGAGAGGGACTCCAAAGAGGAGAGGAGCAGAGGGAGGGAGAGGAAGGACAGAGACAGGAAGGACAGGGATAGAGACCGCAGCAGGGACAGAGATACCAAGAAACCAAGAGATGACGATAAGCATCGTTAGGTGACAGTGCCTTGGGGTATGGCGTCTGTTCTTATAGCCACAGCATTTGAATTGCAGGTGTTGCCTTCAGTTTGGGGCTGTGAGCAGCGTTCCCAAATGAGCTGTGGCATTACTGTCTTGTGCCTGTGACCCTTGCCTGCTAGAAGCTCTGTTGTTTGGTTGCTGATGCAGTTAAGATATGTTTGGAATTGTTCTTCAGAGAAAATAAACTTTTGTATTAATATTTTCGAGCTGGTGAATGCTGTAAGAAATGTGCCACACGTATGGGCATCCCACTGAAATTGAGTACGCAGCTTGCATGCTACCCACCTGGCTGCCTGGGTTAGGGTGCGTGAGAGAGCTCCGCGTGTCATTATTTGTGTGCCAGATGTCCGCTCGCATTCCGTGAGACAGATGCCCTTTATGAAATAGTTACTTGTTGAAGAAATACTCATGAAATAGCCACAAACGAAGCTTCTAAAAAACGTAGCCCAAACCAAACGCCAATGGAAAGCAACTTTATTTTCTTGAAGATGCTGGGACAGGTGAGATCTTTAGCAGTACTGTGTCCTTAACTAGTCCTGTGAGGTGAGAGAGGAGCGTGTAATAAGAAATGCATTTTTTACCTTATGGGAGGATGTCATTCCCTTTTCTTAGAGGAATGTGCACCACAGAGCAGTAAGCAGGTCAGAAAATGCCTGAAGTTCCTGATGAGTCCATGGACAATCATGGAAGGACAGTGCCGTGGTTAAAGGTGGTTGCTCCATCCTCTTCTCCTCTCTGCAAGTCAAGTCTTACCTACACAGGGTTGAAATCTTGTTCTGGAAACAGGACTTGCTGCTGGCTGTAGCTGAATTGGGGAAAACAGGGCAAAGCATCTCCTTTTTCAAAGCCAGGGTGTGTGTATGCAGACGTGTATCTTCTGTTGAGGAGCTTACGGTGCTTTCTAGAGAAGGTTCTGTCACGCACTTTGTCGTCATAGGCAATTCCTAAATATTTGCTACTGTATTTTAAACTGTACTTTTTTTGTCAGCCTCTGAATGGGCCTATCCTGAACCTCACCCAGTGTGAGGCTTTATTTCCATGAAGAGTTGTAAGAGCCTCTTTCAGGGGAAACACAACAGACCCATGTGCTGCGTCCCCAAGAAGAGATGTGATTAACTTTCCACAAAAAAAAAAAGAGGACACAAGTCTTGCAGAAATACTTGTTTTTCAGAAATATTTATTAAACTGTTAAAATTATTTACTGCCCAACCAAAAAAAGAAAAAAAAAAAACCCAACCCAAAAAACCTGAAGTGATCCTGCACTTTGCAGACAGGACTGTACGCCCCTTACCTGACGATGTCCTGGCCCTGTTCCTAAAAGCAGATTTTACTTGAATATTGAGAAACAATCCATGACAGATCTTCAGATCTTTACATCCCCTTCCCTAATGCCATCCTCCCCAATGGCACTCGGAGTCTACAAACCCAGCATTTCTAACGTGAGAACAAGGAGCCAAGTGCTAATGCCAGCAGGTCGGGATAACTAATTAGATTTTTGAGGTACTGGGCTGCAGAGGTGAGGGGGGGGGAAGGTCGCACTGCTTAGTGCCGTTGTTTGAACTGGCTGCAGATTTGACTCGACAGTGCTGTGCTGGGCTCTGGCCTAGAGCACAGGCTTTACATGCAGCAGGCCGAGAGGTGTCCTTTCTAATACACCAGCTTAGGACTGGGGAAAAACTGTTCACTCCGTGTGTTTCTGTTATCCTGATTCATTGCTCTCAGCTGATTGCAAAAGTGATGTGCTTATTCAGACCGTGCACCCGCTGCATTCTGGCATTGTTTCTGATCACCACATCTCTCCTAAACGTGCCCAACGACTGTAGACTGTGCTGGAGGGAGACTCCAAGGGCATCATTCACAATTTACTTTAACTGCCTGATATAACTGTAGTGTACTGCGGTTTTTTCCTAATATGGAAGTGAATTTTTTCTAATATGGAAGTGAAATCAAGATCTTAGCAACTTAAATATCATTAAATTAAGATGCTCCCCCCCATTTAAGAAATGCTTTTTGCACAAGGAGGGAAGTACTGCTGTTTTATGGATACAGCCTTCTGTAAGCATAAAACTTGAGCTATGTCACCAGAACGTAACCAGGCAGAAGCATGTCTGCCTAATACTGGTATCAGACACTACTGTCACTATTTCAAACACAGATGTCTTTCATGTAAGGCCACATACGCCCCTGCCCCGAACTGCAGTGACGCCAGGGAGGCACAGTAAACGCTTTCTCTACCTAGAACGTGCAGAAGGTCCGTGTTCAAAACATAGTGCAGTTACAGTCGGGAGCAGAGCAGCATTTGGCCCACCACTACAAAAAGTTTCCTGGCGGTTTCATTATAGATGGGCTAAGGACCATTTGCTGCCCATACACATTAAAGAATCCAGAGTCTTGGATCACCCTGTATGAAAAACAACTGGCCTGCACTAAACCTTTAGCTTCTTCAGGACTTGTTCATACGTTCAGCACCTGGAGTAGCTGAGGTTTTACTCCAGCCTGAGCATTGTTTCCTGTCCGGGGGTACGGTGCCCACTGCAGCTCAGCCCCCTGCACTAGGCTCCATGCGCAGAAGTTGCCTACGGCCTCGTTGTAACTATCTACTCCTCACCAGCAGCACTGTGCTCCAGCGCCTACTCTCCCCGCACACAGCTGAGTTCACAGCGTGACCTCGGTGCCTTTCACGAGGAACCACGGACGTGTTCGCCCTCTCCTGCCTGGTTAGGTGCCTTTGTGGAGTGTGTGGAGCAGAGGCAGGGTGTGCACTGTATGCAACAGTGTCGATGCGCGGGGCTTTAGTGTCATGGGGTTGGTGAGTACCACTGAGGTCTCACAAGCTCAATGGCAAAGCAGATATAAATCCAACTGCCTGGCAGTTCAGCTAGGCTGGGCTTTTCCTGGCAGGTTGAGCCCCTGTGACTGCAGGGTACCCAATCATCTACTGACACCAGGGGAGCCGCCTGCACATCCAGAATTCGTCCGCTCTGCCCAAGTAGTGTTCAGACTAGTCAGAGAAAACGCCATCTCTAAGTCAGTTAAAATAGTTTATGTCAGCTCGTTGAGAATGTCTTTCACTCTGAAGTTAGGCAGTCTTACCTAGACAGAAAAGTGGAGTGTGACTTAATTAAAAACCTGTCTGTGGAAAGAGACCTAATTCCTTTACAGCAGCTGTCTGCTACTCCAGGGGGAAGTCCCTGGTAAGAAGGAAAAAAATTCCAGTGTTAGAATTCCTCCTTGTAGGCAATTTGTTTCCCATTAATACTACAGAACTCATGGCAAAATGCAAGGCACGCTCACCTCATACATCAGTTTCTTCATGCTTTAGGCACTATAAGCAGCAAGGGAAATGTATGCTCGCTATCCCTCTCAAGGCTACTCCAGTTTATCAGTTTGTATCAGGTGGATTTCCAAGCGGTTACTCTGCAAAATGCAGACGCCAGCTGAACTTGACAGGACCCAGCAGTGCCGAGACCTGCCATGGAGAGTGGCCAGCTGTCGTATCCCTCTTGAAAAAAATTCTTACAGAAGTAAAAAGCAAACAACCAATAGTGTTAACAACCAGGGTAAAAGAGTCTTTGCCACTAGATATTGTACACTGCAAACAAACTTCTAATAATGGCACAGGTCCTTTTTTTTTTTTGGTTTAAAGAAGCTTGTGTTACTGTAGTTAATGCATGAACAAGACCATAGACTTGTTATTCAGCACAAAACAAGTCATCTAGAAGCTTCGATGTCCCAGGGTATCAGCGAATGTTACTACAAAACTTGGATTCTGTTTTCAGCCAACAGTCCCCAAGTAAACAGCAAGGGATCCCTTTTGAAGAGTAGGTCTGAAACGCAACCACTGAGGTGTGCAAGGCAAAGAAAAGTGACGAGCTGCCGCATTTGTTTACAGAAGCTTCTTGTTACTAGACTGTCGAGATCTACTGTGGTAAACTGAACACCTCAAGGTTTTAGTCACAGGTGCTGCAGAGCTTCTTGTCCTTGTTCGGTGTAGGAGTCATCTTTATTTGAATTTGACCATTCTCCAAAAGTATCCTGGAAGTGGACATTTTTCTGTGATGCCTGCATACGTTTCTTATCACGAGAGAAGAAACTAAACCTTCCGGGAAGGGAGGGGAGGGAAAAGAAAGAAGAGTGTTTACCATATTGAAAACACTTCAAACACCCGACACGATACACAGCACAACAAACCACAGAGCAAAAAAATCTGTTTGCATCTGCAAAAATCAAGGCAGTGAAGCCTGATGGGAGTGCATGTCAAAATGTTATTAGAGATGAAGTCATTGCAATCTCAAGCAGTTTGGCTATGGAAGCTTCAAATAAGCTCTAAATGCTGTTGACTCTACAAGGTGCAGGCGTCATTTTAGATGTATATTCCCCCTTCCCCAGCCCCGAGATAAAGAAGCGACACAATACAGGTTAGTTTATTGGCATAAATAAAGTGGTATCTTTGGCATTAAATCTATATAATTTACCATAAAGCAGAAATAAATAATGATGTTTTTAAGGGTGTCAGCAGGGAAATTCATAAGAAAATAAGCCTCCACATTTTTTCCAAGTCTACAGATTTTGATACGTAGACTTGATTCCTGCAAAAATAAATGACTAAATGCATGTATGTGCACAAGAGTTTGCAGGATGAAGGCTCCAAACAAATGCACACAAGTGTGCACGTCATTTCCTGTCACACGGCTTGGGTGCTCTAAGATAATGACGTACATGAACCAACAGCCATTTAATACAACAACAAATTGCCAGCTGACAACAGAGCTAAAAAAATACAGTCGGAAAAATCCTTAGTCTCATTTTATTTGCATAGGATGACGTTACTTGATTAGGCAAATTTGATGTTCGTCATGAGTTCAGTACGAGAGGTGTTAGTGCAGTGTTTAGGTCTGCTGAGAAATGCAAAAGTTGTGGTTCTGGCTACCAAAGGTTTGAATTGGCTGCGTTGCCTTTTGATTTTAATGGCGCACTTTCAGAGGTAAATATTGTTTTGCTTGCAGAGTACCAAGCAAAATGCAGTTCTGAGCCAGGACAGGAACTGCTAAATGCTTCTGCAGTAAGAGACTATGCAAATATAAACTCAGCTTTGAGAGGTGATGGAATATTTTTCAGGGCATAAACCTGACCCTATGCCCACGCCCCGCCATCCTCAGCGTTCCCCCCCACCTGCAGTGCTCAGGGCTCCCCTCAGTATCACAATCCCAACTGTTCAAGCCACCTTGTGCGGACCAGGGAGCTCTGCCTTTGCCGTCTCCAGTCACATAGCAGGCTGTTATTTGAGTGTGAGATAAGGTTTAAGGCAGCTTTCCTGAAAAAATATCCTATCATGTGCAGGTAAGCATGATGATAGTTATTAAGAATATTAAGAATAATTATTTCTTGCCTAGAAAGTGATATAAAAAGCTACACAAGTGCAATGCCAGATAACTAACGTTGCTAGCGGGACCTGAACTTTTGCATTTCCTGGCTTCAAATGCGCAGCCTTAATAGTGAAATAAATCTTTTGCACTTAATTAGCCTCATACTTTTCTGCCACCTTCATCACGGGAGCTCATAAATTCACACATGTATGCTATGTCTTTTCAGGGCCAGACCCAATTCCAGCTGGTAAAAGAAGTGTCTAGTCACTGAGGCTTTCTGCTGAGCATGTTTGGTCCTGCATGGTCAGGCCTAGTATCTTGAATTCCACGCAAAGGACTGCTGTATTTATGCAGTAAGTTTCAAATGTCAAAGTTCAGTAATTTTTAGCTTTATTGTGAAATTAAGAAAGAGAAAAATATGTTTGTAAAATCTCTACATGAAGCAGAAGGGTTAGGGCTTTTGAATTCCTTCTGAAACAATGAAAATTGTTATTATGCCTAGAAAACCCTCATGGCGGATGTTTGGGAAAAGTGTGTCTGTATGGAGAGGAAGGGAATTTACATACTGTGTTGCTGCTGTAAATATAAAGCTGACCAACGCAGCAGTTCTAATACAAAGACACTTCCAGGGACAGCCAAGAACAGGATGATAGAATTGATTATTGAGAGCATATACTCTATTCCCAAAATACGTAATTAGAGACAAAATATACAGTGCATAGATAGAAAGACATGGAAGCAACAGCCTATAATTAACACTGGAAATTAATGTAGACATCAGCCATTATGTTCTGTAAATCTAACTAACTAAAACTGACTTGTAACAAGTCATTAGAATGTCACGAGTTTCTTAAAAAGCATTGGTGTGAATTGTGTGAAAATAGGCACGCTTAGTAAGCGAAATTAACAGATGCTGGTTAAAATTGCTTATTGCCACAATTTTCTGAGGAGTAATGATTGGTTTAGCATGGTAACATTAAGGCAAAAGGTGATCAATGTCAATACTTGAGGATGAGCATGGAGGACTATGATGAGTTGTGTACTGACTGGTCATTCTGATTGGCACTTTGTCCTTCTGTGATCCCACAGGCGGCCGATGAGAATGCAACCAGCAGTGCATGTTAACACAGGGTCATGCAAAAGGAAACCACGGTACCGAACATTTAAAAAAAAAAAAAAATCCTACAAGGGACACAAGTCTTCTTATTGGCTGCAATGTGGGATCATCTGGAATCAATCCAGCTGCTACCATGGGCATTATGGCTGTAAAGATCCTGGTCAGGAAAGTACAGACACAGAAGAGATAAGACTGGAGCAAGGGAAAGAAAAAGCATTCCATTAAAAAGAAAAGAGGCAAACATGATACACAGGGTTACTTTGAATTACCACACAGGACATGTTACAGGGAGAGGTGGATCTGTATCACCCAAGACAGCTCTCCTCAGTGAAAAACTCTTGTCCTTGTAACAGTTTAAATTGCTTTTGAATTTCTAAAAGATACCACTTTTCAGTTGTGAGGCAGCCTGCAATCTGGGTTGGATTTCATCAAGGTATTACTACCTCTAGCAATGCAGAGCAGAGTGCACATTTTTCTTCCCAAGAGACAAACAGGCACATACGTAATGAAATGAAGGATGAAGGTGTATGTTAAGAAATACAGAGCAGGACTCTGCCGTGACTACTGGATATTTGCACGGAAAACAGGGTTAGAGGGGACCAGTGTTAAAGATTTTACAAATGTTACATTTGACAGTTTCAAGTTAAAAACCAGTATCGCAGGTGAAATCTTGAAATAACCTCCTGTGCAAGCTACTTGGTTAAAGGGCCTGCGTATCTGTTCCAAAAGAGCCTGCCTTGCTTCACATGCAGAAAGATGCCAACCGCAGGCAGCTAAATACTTTATTTGAAACCTTGCAACTGCTCTAGCAGAAACACTTCCTAGCTGGCTAGCAGCAAGACTGTTTCTTTGTAAGAGTTCAGCACTTTCACTACGCATTATTCGATTCATGCAACTTAGAGGCTGAGAGAGCGCGCTGGCTAGGAGCTCTATGCCCAGCCAGCCCCACACAAACCTGCCAACACACCTTCATCCGTACCTGGAACACCCTCTGTTTTTCTAAGGGTTCTCCTCAGAGGTTCTCCCTTGTGCCAAATATTTTTTTGAACTGTGGACTAATGTCAATTAAAGATTAAGTTGAAATCATGAGACATTTCACTTGTGACCAAATGCAGCTCTCCCCAACATAGTCACTCTAACTGCTATTCTTCGATTAAAAATAAAAACAAGCAAACATTGTTGTATCATTAGCAGTAGGTAGGATTTCTATTTTTATGCATTATGGCACGGTCCCTGAGCTGCAGGAATGAGACAGACACATCAGCTTTTGTAGACTGCAAGAATAGGAAGAAAACTTATGGCTGTTTCAGGCATTACATCAGTGACAAACAAGCACGTATCCTTAAAGAGAAAACAAAAGGGCGTTTTCTGCTCAAAACAGAGGGATCATTTTTAATCCTTGGACTTTTCCTCCTCTGTAAAGCCTCCTGGTTAAATTATTTCATCAAAACTCTGACATGTGATGTGGTAGAGACAAATGTAGAAAGCAGCCTGAGATCAGAACTCGGTTAGAGTTTGCCACAAACATGCAAACCCTGGGAGTGAAAAATTGTTGATTTCTGTAACTTCTTTTCCTTTCTTTATGGGGATGCAGCACAGAATCACCTGAGCACATCTTAGATGGCACAGACTACATATATGCATGTCTCACTCCCTGAGATACGGCATGGTCGAGGACACAATGGGCACGTCGCACAGGCAAGCATAAAACTTCTCTTGAGAGGGTAGCAACAGTGTCTCCTATTCTTGTACTTCAGCTTTTTGTTTAATCAGGAGGAAAAGTCTGAAATGGAGGGAAAAGCAACCCTACTTTCATTTGTAAAGGCACTCTGCATGCAGATACCAGCATTACAAGTTTTCATCACGTCATTAGGTATGGAGAGTTTACGTGCCTGTGTGTTACCCAGGCAGCCATATAACGAGGTGCTGACAGCATCCTGCCTGGGAGAGGGCAGGGACTGCAGGAGGGGTGATGTAACAGGGCAGAACTGATGCTACACTTGGGTTCTTTGTTCTTCCCAGCAATGAAATTTCCTGGTTTTTTAAAGCCCATCTACAAGTACACTGTTGACAACACACACCGAGAGGAGGAGAGGAAGAAAATAAAACCACACTAGACAAATCCTATCCAGACCGGCTGCAAGAATAAAACAAACCTGAAAACTATTACTGTCCTTCAGGTTACTTCAGTAGATGGTTTTATCTTCCCTTATTTAATGGGATGGCTAAATGAAGAGAGAGGAGAAAGAAACCTCGGGACCGAGCATGACAGCTAAAGAAAGTAATTTCATCTTAACAGCAGGTTCAATATGTGCTTCCACTCTCTGGCAGAAGAGGACTCTTGCCTTTTCTGAAAGGGGCCAAAACAAGATCTTATGTTTTATTGTGTGTGGTTTTAGTTACGTGAATTTAACATGGAATCTAAGAAACAGAAAGATTAGACAGGGGTCTGAAAACGTACATTGATTGAGTGGTCTGATGCTCAACGGGTTTTTACTAATAAATTAACTGAGAGGAAGCAAGCACGGAGATAACTGGTTGAGAACACTTATGGTGCCTCCTGCCATGGCTCCCTGCATTGCTTAACGCACATACACAGAAGGCAGAGTCAAAGCTAATACCTCGTCAGCATGTGCTCTGTCTTACAATATCTATTTACATTTTTATGCTGCCTTTGCTTCATAAATCAAGCACGGAAACCACAATCAACACAAACTATATAAGCTGAAACCATCCATCCTCCACAATGGGATAAGCTTTAAAAAGTGCTAAATAAATTTGAAAGAAAAGAGAAGCTTTACAGCGGAGATCTTGTGAGGCAAAGTATTACTGTTATCACGATTGCAGAATGAAAACTTAAGTCCAAACTCAAAGTGTATTTTGTAATCATGTGAGAGGAAAACTTCTCTCAGCAAACAAAGCAGCACAGACAGAAGCTGGAGTCTACTGAAAATAATCAAAAGTGCCCTCCTGACTTTATGGTGGTTTGGATCGGTCCACGTCTTCCAGTGGGACTTACCCTCACAGGGCTGCTGCTATTATTAAACAAGGACTGAAGGTTATGGGCATGGGGACAGGATGGAAGAGCTTTTTATGTGGGAACAAATGACTGTTCCAAAATAATTTATGCAGTTAAAAAAGTTAAGCTTCCAGTATCACAAAAATCCAAAGACTTGCTATAAGGTTACAAGACTTAATCTGGAATAAATAAATGTACAAGGAGGGAGTTTCAACAGACAAATGGATTGGCTAACACTGTGGTTTTATAATTGATATACTAGTAAATGCACACCTCTGACGGTAAGCTTTGGGTTTGGACAGCAACATTAAATACTTCACCAGAAGAAGGTGGGGTTCTTTATAGCCAAGAAAGCTGGCATCCTCTCCAGCAGCCAATTTGTTCAGCAAACAAAAGGGTTTTGTGCTGTACACATAGTGCAAGTTGGGGTCTAAAGGCTTAGGTTAACAGGGAAACAGGCCCAGCGAGGTCACACAGAAGCCTCATGGGCTCTCCACGCCCAACTGCTACAGGTCTGCAGTGGGAGTTACTTGTGAACAATACTCTTTATGTGTCTTCTGAGATGACCTGGGGGGCAGCGGTTTCTGTCACTCCACCACCCTAGGATCTGTGTGTTAAGGAACTGGGACTTGCACTTGCACAGGAGCATTGTTCCTACAACCCTTGCACACTGAGATCTGGCACGGACTTCAGTTTTGAGCACACAGGACAGGCTGAACAGTGCTTTGGATTAGACCACAATTAGTAGCACCTCCCCTTGGAGTGTGACTACGTGGCCCAGACAAGAAAATTCTCTAGGAGGATCACGTGTCTGTGTTTAAAAGCTCACCAGCTCATACCAGACATGATAAAACATTGCAACACATGCTCTTTTGGTTAGCCTGAATGGCATACTTGAGAAGGAACATTAGAACTCGAGCGGGCTTCTTGGGCACACCAGTCTGGCCCATAAACACAAGCACACAGAGTACTGTTGGATTCCCTCCTGCTGTCTGCACGTAGGAAGCAAAAGGTACCACGGGAAATAATCTGGGACTGAAAGTTGACCCAGAACTAGGCAAAAGTTTTGGCCAAAGCCAACTGCTGTTTCATGGTACTTGCCAAGTGCTCCTTCAATGTTTCTCCCATTAGGAGATGTGGTTATCCTAATTTTTAAATTCTTTACAATTGTCCTGCCCATTAGAAACATTTATTATTTGCAAACTATATCCAGTATCTATAGAAAATATGCTACTTACAGTCGTTTGATTCCAGATTCAGGCTGAGTTGAGGGTTTTGACTGAATTATGGGTGTAGGTTGAGGGGATCTAGTTTCTTCTTCTGTTTCCTCACTTGAAAGAAAGAAAAGATAATTAATGTTCTCCTCCCAAGCCATGGAAGCACTTTTAAAATTCAATCTGAGGTAGTACTGTTGATGAAGAAATGCAATACAATCTGTTCCAAGCTCATGGAAATCAGTGGGAGATTTTTCTGATGACCAAGGAACAGCACCTAGAACTGGGCCTCCTTTCAATATTTTCTTCCCATTGTGAATAGGAGAGGGAGAAGAGGAATGCATTGAATAAAAGTTCTAGAATTTTCATTTTAGACCCACTCTTATCCTCATTTTTGAAGTTCAAAAGTATTAAATGTTTGTCATCTTTCTAAGATTCAGGGGGAACCGGGGAGTTAGGGAAGGACATAGTTTTTCCCAATTTTGAGGAACCAGATTCAAACTAAAGCCATATGCTTGCAATCTCTATTTTAAGCCTTTGCAGAAATATAAGCTCATTGGACACTATTTAAGAGCACATTTATTGTTTCTAGACTTGCCCTATGGCTCCTCTGTGTATAGCATGCAACAGGAGAGGAGATCAAACCTACCTTTTGTAATATAAAAGCTCCTCTTGAAGTAAAAACACTTTAGATTTCAATTCATTCCTCTCATGAAGGACATCCCGGAGCTCCTGCAAGGTGAATCTTGGACGATTTGGATCTTTTAAGTCCATTGCCATCTTTTCTGACTCTGAGAGGCACTCATCATTGTTTGGTTCTGTCTAGGGAGTGAAACACAGGCTTTAAATTCTCCGTGCGAGTGCATGTCTGAGGACTTTAAAGTATTTATCAGTCTAGTTCCCAAGCTCTTCTTTTCAGCACTATTAAATCCTCTTTTAAGAGAAACATAGCAATTTTAAGAGAAAGAAATGTAGATGGAATTTGTTTTTCATGTTGTGCTAGTTTTGGCTGGGATAGAGTTAATTTTCTTCATAGTAGCCAGTACGGGGCTGTGTTTTGGATTTGTGCTGAAAACAGTGCTGATAACACAGGGATGGTTTCGTTACTGCTGAGCAGTGCTTACACAAAGCCAAGGCCTTTGCTGGTCCTCACACCACCCCACCAGTGAGTAGCTGGGGGTGCACAAGGAGTTGGAGGGGACACAGCCAGGACAGCTGACCCCAGCTGATCTAAGGGATATCCCATACCATATGACATCACGCTCAGCAGATAAAGCTGGAGGAAGGGGAAGACGTTCAGACTGATGGCGTTTGTGTTCCCAAGTAACTGTTACGTGTGATGGAGCCCTGCTTTCCTGGGGATGGCTGAATACCTGCCTGCCCATGGGAAGTGGGGAATTAATTCCTTGGTTTGCTTTGCTTGTGTGCAGGGCTTTTGCTTTCCCTATTAACCTGTCTTTATCTCAACCCACAAGTTTTCTCACTTTTACTCTTCTGATTCTCTCCCCCATCCCACCAGAGGGGAGAGAGCAAGCAGCTGCGTGGGGCTGAGCTGCCGGCTGGGGTTAAACCGTGACACATGTGAAGACTGCCAGCAAGGACAGCTCAGTGACGTGATCACTTTGTTCTTTCCTGTGCAGAGGTTGACAGATGACAGACACAGGGCTGGTGAGATGTGGCAAGCCTCTGAAAGATGACCTGAGCTCCGTTTTACCTCTCTTCACCTGGTGTTCAGGTGAAGCTTTCAAAAGAGGAAGACCTTAGTGTGGTGACCTACAATCAAAGCTCTGTGCTCACAGGAATCTTTCAGAGTTACATGTTTGGGAAAACAAACAAACACCAATTGTTTCTAGCAGGCCTGAACACAGGATCCAACCTGAGTCACCTTATAGGTGATAAGTTTTCTTGTGGAGAAATTCCTGTGGAATCCAGACTGCCAGAAAGTCCACTGAAAATGTATAGTGCAGTTTTTGATCCACAAGTCAGTTTAAGGAAGTCATACTTTTAACAAATGGGGTAAATCAAAATCACCTTTTTATATAAACACTGAAAAAACTGCATAGCAAAGATCATGACAGTTCCTTCCAGCTCCTCCCACAAAGAGAAAGTTCCTCTGGATGTAAACATATTAAGTGGAGATTTAAGTTTATATCCCCTTACTGCCTTTATTAAAAAACCCAGGATTGGTGTTAGCACCAGGATCTAGCTACAAAGTAGAAGAAAACTGCAGGTGAAAGCTAGATGAGGCATTTATACCTCATATATTTCTCTTCTTTTCCTCTGAGAAGAGTTCACTGGAAGCTTGGAGGAATTTTATCTCCCACCACCCAGTTTCTGTGGCTTCTAAGAAGCCAGAACTTGCACTCTAGGCACATGGCTGGATTCCCAGGCCTGTGGGGCTGCTTTCTGTCACCCAGGCACACTCTAGCATTTGCACAGAAGTATTTGGCCCTAACTGCTTGTCAAAGTGTGGTCTGTATAAACACAGCACACAGAAGACCATCGTTCAGGTCCTCTGCTGTTGTTCCACTCGGTGGCTGCACAGAGCTGAGGACCAGTTAATGAGAAATCACAAGCTTCTGGGAAATGTACTCAGAATCAAGATGCTGAAAAGCAGCTCCAAGCCTTTAGAGGTCTGCAGGATTTCTAACAATACAAATAAATGCAGGGCACTCTGTTCCAGCAAAGTACATTTGAAATGTAGCAAAGTACATTTGAAATGTGATGCTTTTTGCAAGGACTGACTAGGGGCCAGCACATGAAATCAGAGATGCCAGCAGCCAGGTCAGCCACCCGTCCTCCTAGCAGGATGCAGAGATCAGAGTCTCAGAGCTCCTGAGTTGCAGTGATGCCTCATTGGGATACAAGCTGGAAATTTGAGGAGTTAAGTACTGGAATTCTTAAACAGAGTCTATTTTTTGTAAGCCTGATCTACCCTCTTTTGAGCTCGTGTGTTTGTGAAACAGTTATCTATTGATATATGATTTCAGGTTAAACGTGGCTGGGCTAAGGTTGATGCAATATCAATTTCTACAGCAGGGACTGCAGTCCTTGTCCTGCAAAGACAAAGCAGCAGAGCAATGCTCGCTTGTCCATTCCTTTGATTCATCCCATTCATCCAAATCCATTTCTTCACAATACAATAAATAAAGACTGATGCAACCTAACAAGAGATTCAAAGGAAATTACTCAAACACTTTTCCTTTTCTTCACCCCTTTAGATTACAGTCTGACCTGATGCCTCGTCTTTTGCTTGTATATTTGCCCTGCACCTTTACCCAAATAAACTATTTTTCCTAGATTTAGCTCAAATCAGCAAAGACTGAGCAGCCTGTAGCCAATGCAAATGTACTTGTCTGAAGCCAACAAGCAATGTCCATTCCAGAGCACGCAGCTATTCTAGCTTTCTGCTTGCCACTGCAATTCCTGTCTAACCATCATCCTGGCAGAGAGAGCGGGGAACGGCTCTAATTAGAAGAGGCGCCATTGCCATGGAACTGATGAGTTAGAGAGAGGTGAAGAATGCGTCCTTTCTCTCCAGAGACTGAAGACACTTTCACTCCTGCTGGCTCTAGGCCTAGGCTCCACAGCCCCATTTACAAAGCTGGGTGTCCTGGCTGAATTAACAGCAGTGAAATCATCCTTTTCATTATTAATACAGTGCTTGCCCAATTCAGCAGTGACATGTGAACACAGCACTGGCTGTCACATTCCAGGAGGGACCAGGGTACCCCATCAACCTTTGCCTCTGCTTCTTGATGTATATTCCTGCCTACTACAAGTGAATTGGGTGTTTCACTCTCTGCTGCGGTCTATCAGGCATTTAAAATGCCGCTTGGTACTGGAGCTCTTATCAACGCATCCAGCCAAACAGCTCTATATGACAGTGCTCCTCTAAATTCTCTCACATCATGACACGCCTTATCATATTTTGTACCCTTCTAATTGCAGGATTAGGAAAGGGAAATACAGCACATTTGCTTTAGTAAGACAGTAGTGTCATGCGCAAAGAAAAATAATAACCATAAAGAGAACTAAGGGATGCAACAAATCAGAGATGCATCTTTTCTTCAGGAAGCTCCCCTCAGGTTTGCATTCCTACTGCTCTGACATCAGCACCAAGTCAATTTGCAGCTTGTCACTTTGCCTGTTCCTGCAAGTACTTGAGTATGCAAGCAGTAACATTTGCTTTTCATGAACATTTGTGCTAGTAACACTTCACTGCACAAATTCTAATAGGAAGTGCATGCTGGTTTTGAATGAGATAGAGTTCATTTTCTTCATAGTAGCTGGTAGAAGGCTATGTTTTGGATTTGTGGGGATGGCTGAACACCTGCCTGTGATGCACAGTGGTGAATGAATTCCTTGGTTTGCTTTGCTTGTGTGGGTGTCTTTTGCTTTCCCTATTAAACTGTCTTTATCTCAACCCACAAGTTTTTTCACTTTTACTCTTCTGATTCCCACCGGGGGGGGTGGGGGTGGTGGGGTGGGAGTGAGTGACCATCTGGGATGGGGTTAAACCACGACAAAGCAAAAGCAGAAATAAGGCCAAAGCTGGTTCCTCTAAAAGGTGCCTTCCAATATTTATATGTCAATTTGGTGGCGATGGACCAGCTTAGCCTTGACAGATCAAAAGTGCCATGAGCACTGTGAGGACCAAGTGTGCAGAGTTCTGCATTGCCTCTGGGACAGCTTCTGACACAATTTCTTTTCTACTATGGTTCACAGACCTCCACCATCACAGTGCATGGCACCTTTGGGAACCATTAGGGCTTGCATATTTGCATACTCTGCAAAGCTTGAGCTATTTGTCAGCTGGTTATCTTTTGGAAAACCCAGACTGAGGGATCAGTTTGTTTTCCTTTGGGGGAAGGGGTTGATGTGTACAAACAAAATGAAGCCAAGCATACTAACGCAGCACTACCAAAACACTATCTGCCTCCAACACAAACTGACAGCTGATACTCCAGAGATTTTGGATAGCTTCATGGTGTTTTTAGTAGAACACTCTCTTTTGAAGCAATGATTTGTTCTGGTATGTGGTGAATTCTGCAGCCTAGTGCATGACTCAAAGGTAACACTTCCTAGGACACATGATGGGTACCCAAGTCTAAGGGGAAAGCTGTTCTCTGATGGCGCTCTCTCCCACTGCTAACACGTGCTGCCACTCTGCCTGCTGTGAGACTGGTTCCCTCCTTTAGGAAGGGGGGGTCTGTTCCACTGGGTCATCACCCACCCTAGCAGGCCCTTTCCTGTCACAGTGCGATGAGTGACGTTGCCCTCTCTATATCATATCTGAACACAAGATGCTGTGTTCATTGCCTCTGATGTGTATCAATCATGTTTATCCAAAGAGGAGGTACTTGGTATGAAGTCCAAAGCTTTTTAAAAGGCTGTTTAAAAAGTGATTTAAAGTGCCTCTTACCTTTACTTCCTCCCCATTTTGGCTGTCCTCATCCTGCAGTTTTTCTCTGAGTTTCCCCAGCTCTGCTCGCAGGTTGCCCATCTCCTGCTCCTTGGTTTGCAGATATGCTTCTAACTCCACCTTCTGCTCAATCAGCGCCTTCCCCTGAGCTTCAACAACGGTGATCCGGTGCCGCAGGTCATGGTTAATTTTCATTAACCTGTTCTGTTGCTGCTGAAGCTGCAAAACATTGATGCAATAGGTCAACATCCATTCGGCTGTCAGCTATGGTGGCCAAGTCCCAAACATCACGTTAAATAAAAAGTAGTGGGTTCCTGTTGAAATTAATCTGGAAATTTCTCCTCCCCTCCTCCTCTTCCTCACCCCCAGATTATTTTTTTTAATATCTAATTATCTACTACACTCACAGTCACCAAAATTTAATTGGTTTCTAGAGTAAAGAGGCATTTTTCCACTAGCACAGGGAATTCTCCAGCTAAAAGCAAATCCATCATTTCTGATGTTATGTTTCAAAAAAGCAAAGTTCAAGGATAGGGTGGCTTATGGGATTCTGAATCAAATCTTAACCCAGAGTAGAAGAGAGAAAGACAAGACAGAGGAATCCTTAGTATTCAATTTATAAGTACTTTGCTTTGAGCTCTGAGGCTCTCTCATAAGGCAGGATGTGACCTGCTGGGCATTGTATGGAGAGCACCAATTTGAAAGGCCACGGCACCTGCCAGAGGCACTTGGGTAGAGCAGAGATCATCTAGGTCTGGCTCACTAGCACCAGAAAAGTCCCATGGCCTAAGGAGATGAGGCAGTGTGAGGATGGGAAGCAAAATATGGGTAAGGAGGTCATTCCTCCTGACACAGAAAGAACCAAGACATCATGTGACTCCCAAAGTCACAGTGGAGTCTGTGATTCATCGAAGAATAAACCTGGATCTCTTGTGCTATGGTCCCCAGGGCCACCCATCCTCTCAATGACCTTCTATTCACTGCTGGCAAAAGTAAGTGACCTGGGCTGAGCTCAGGCCCCTTCCTCCTACCCCCTTCCATGTGCAAAGAGGTAATCCACATCACATCCCTGGTGTGGGTACGTGTGTGGAGCCTCCGCTGCCAAACTCTGCAGAGAGTGTATGTAAAATACACAGTAGCCTGCTTACCCACCACAGGGATCTCTGGGTAGGGTGAGACATGGGGCTGCTGAGGATGTTTGCACTGCCAGCAGAGAGAGATTCAAGAAGCCAGAGAAAGTTACCTGTCCTGTTCCCATGAAAGGGGAGAGGTATCAGGTCTTTAAGGAAACAAACAAAACAACCTGTCCTTCACCCATCTTCCTCCCTTGTTACACTGGTTTCCAGTCACGTTCCAAGTGTGCCTGGTCCTTCTGAACACAGCAGAGGGTGTGTGTCTGCACCGAATACTGCCTAATCATTTTGGACACTCTCAGTTATGCCAGACACTTCAGTTACTGGACTAATAATCTGGCATTGCTTAGAAATTCTACATTAACTTAAAACTTGAAACCAGGCTATGGAAATATGGGTGAGAAAGAAGAGAAACAGGAAAACTAAGAGCCACTTACAGCCTCTACATCCTCATTTTTAAGTCCAAGTTCCCGGTCCTTTGCTCTGATTTCATCTCTCTGTTTATCTACCACTTCCTTCAGCTTCTTCATGACTTGCCGCTCTCTCTCTGACATTCCTGGTTAAAAAAAGAATATAGAAAACAAACTAAGGACAATCAGGAGCTGCTGAGACTTGAGAACAATAACAGTGAGAAATACTTAGGTAAAGACTCTGGAAGTTGCCTGCTAGTAGAATTACAGAGAAGCTGTTGGAAGATGCTTTGAAGGTTACTTCAAGGGTAACAGGGAACAGACATGACACAATCCACTCCATAAAGCCACTGCACACAAACTCCTTAAAAAAGGAACTGACAGTCCTCAGAAACATTTATAACAGTGGAGTGACACTGCTGCCTCTTGCTACCTTGGTAGTTTTACATCAGTGTTCACACTACGCCCCAGGGAGTTTGATTATCCGTGTGATATTATGTACAATCAGCTGGCGAAGACCCTGTGAAAATTGTAAAAAAGATGGTCTGGATCTGCAGCAAGATCTAAACAACATGTCACTGTTATGAATTGCATGTAGATCCAAACCAACTTGAGGTGCACTGGACTAAAATGATTTTATGTTGAAATGCAGTTTTGTGTTGGGTGAAAGGGAGATGAAGCAGGACCTTCAGAGGGTACCTCCACCCTGAATGTTGAACAGAAATTTAGTCTGAATTATGGTCACATATTTTCTCACAGGAAGCATTCTCCCATTACAGAGATAATTGGGAACTGGCACTACAGTGATGGGCTCTTCAGAGCGAACACAGACCAGATGATTTAACTCAGTGAGATGATAAATCTACTACTGTAACTTTTCCTGATAACTGCACAGACATGCAGTTTGATGCTCCTAAACTATCACATAAAATCACGTTGTACAACATCCCATAGGATGGCTTGAAGATGAAAGGCTGTGACCAGGGCAGTGTGTGGCTGCCCAGTCCAAGCAGGAGTTCAAATCCAGGGTCTGCTGCTTGTTATATTACCTTTGGCAAAGTATGTAGTTACTTGGGTCCCCATCTTCCTCCATCTACAGACTGCGAGTGGTGATAATTCACTCACTCCTCTGGGGTGGCTAGAAAGCCACTTCCTTTTTAATATATTAAAGCAGTTCTCACATCCCACATCAGAAATATGCTGCATATACATCAAATGTATCCAACTAGTCAAGTCTCTACTTTCTAACATCAGCTCAGACTTTCTGGTTATGTTCTTCCTTCATCAGAGAAATCCAAAGTTGCTCCCATAAGAGAGTGTAGGCTGCATGCCTTTAGGAACTCCAGCTTACAGATCGTCTACAGTTTGAACTGATGGATAATACAGTAAAGCAAGACAAACCTGAGAGAGAGAAAGAAAGGGAGTACTCTTGGTGGATGCACACTCCTGCAGCAGCTGTGGGTTTCCATGCAGGCATAAAAAGCATACCACTGCAAACAGGGGGAATGGCAGCTCTGATCGCTCATTGCTAAAGGACCTAGAATCTCCCAGAGCTGTGGTACAGCAGAGAATAGGTAACTGCTCCGCTGGGAAAAGGACCGGTGATCATGGCTGGCTGGGAATTTGGTTCAGAGGACGTGTTCCTGTCAAACCCCAGAAAGCAGCTGAGTGACATGGTGTTCAGATTCTAGTATTACATTCTCATCCTTTTTAATTCTGTGGTAAGTCTGCCTCTTCTATTTCTGGACCCTGGTCCTTATCATCTCTCTGGTCTAGGTTCTAGTTCTTTGCAGGACAATTTTAATTCTTCGCTATGATAACAGCTAAGACCCACCAGGGAGGACAACTAGACACTCACACACATGACTACTTAACTCTTCTAAAAGATCCACACTCTCCTATCACAACACAAGACTGATACACTACTGAATCCACAAACCCCACTACAGGTTCCTGGATCCGCCCTCTGCAGCCAGTCTCAGGGCTGGGGCCTAAAACATCAGCTGTATTAAAAGAAAAAAACAACCAAAAAAACCCCAACCTACAAACAAAAAACTTTGCCTTGAAGTACAGAGGGACTGCAGTGAAACATGAGAGTGGTAGTTTCACCCCAGTAGGAGCTAGGAATAGTGAGTGCAGCTATATTCATTTGTAGTTGTGAGATGCTTTGAGATCTCCAGATAGCAGGTGCAATTTAAGGAATAAAGTACCATTTCAGTGCTGACTGCTTTTCCTCCCACTGTGCTCATTTTTCTCCCTAACATTTGGTGAACATAAAAGACTTCAATTGTGTGCAGAGATCACTACATTATTCTTTTTATTTCAGGAGGAGGGGAAAAGAAAGGTGGGAAGCGTTTATGAAACAGTCACATCTTCTTCCATTTCCTCAGGCGCTGGGGAAGAGGAGAGGGAAATCTCTAAGTGCCCTAAATGTAAAATAATTATCGCTAAATGATTCAAAGTCTAATATGTTCAAGATCTTAAACGGCACACCCAGTTGGCTTCCCTAGGCACATCCTATGAGCAGCTTCCTGTGGACTGCTGCGATCATAGCATTGTTCAAGCAAGAGAAAAGAAAGCAGCTGAAAAAAAATAAGAAAAAGAAAAAAAGAAAAAGAAATGGAAGGAAAAAAAAGAAAAAAGCATCCTTTATGTTCAGGGACCAGTTTACTGTTGTGTTTATACAACATCTATTGCAACAAACCAAAGTGCCAGTCAGGGCCTGTGGCACTACACCACTACCTAAATACTTAGACGCTTGCCTCCACTTTAGAAGGGAATTGTAGGTTCCTTGGCAGCCTAGCACAGGAGGTTCACACAACTGCTGACATCCTGCTGCTTGTCTGTATTACCACAGCCAGTCTGAGACAGCAGCTCCCCTTGCTGCAGTGAAACAGCAGCCTGCTTGTCCTGTTTGACACACGTTGGGTCAAGTTTGCTTCTAGCATATTACTTGGATATCCCAATCAGTCAGCACCATCAAGGAGAGCTCAGTTTGAGCTTGGGAGGAGTAGCGTTAATGGATGTTGTAGACTCACCTTTAACCCCTCCTGTGTATTTTGTATTCTGCCACACATTCTTTCACATGAACCCTGGTCTGCTCAGACTCTGAGCAGACGCCCTCTGTGCAGCACACTCCTGTTTAGATAGGATTGCATCTGCCTCTCTCATAAACACCTTCATTATGCTAAAGGAAGGCTCTGTGAACTCTGATGTGACTATTAATTGGCAAGGATTGAATCTCAAAGGCTTGCACACTCAAATCACTGGCCTCTCTTGCCTATGCTAAAAATAATTCCTTTAACTGTCTGGTGAGTAAGCAGCAAGCTGTTAATCCCAGGGGCTAGCCACTAAGGGGAGACATGATCACAATACTAAATCATGCTGAGATATGAAGACTGGAGTCTGGTCGGTTAGTCCAGCTAAAAAAGTATTTAGGTTGAAAATCTGCCTCCGTAGACTCTATATGTATCAGATCGAATGATGGAGACTGAAAAAAAAGCAGCGTGACTGCTTTTTGACACTATCCAAACAAGTCATTTGAGACAAATCTATACCCGTTCATTAATAACAAAATTTCTTAAAAGAAAAACAGTTGGCTTTGATATAATATGTCCCAATAATAAGATAGGGTTGCTATAAATTAATGTGATTTCACTTAAACTGATGATTTTGGCCAAAGAATATCAGTGATCCCAGAGTCTGATCTCTGGCATGGGTTTATGGGTTTTGTTTGTGTTATTATACTTGGGTAGACACAGTAAAAATAACACAAAAGGCATGCCTGGCATTTGCTTGGCTAGTTGAATGTGAAGAGTATGGCTATATTTAAATACAAGCACATGAGCTGCAGTGAGCTAGATACCCACTGGAAGGAGGGGGGGGGGGGGGAAAGAGAGAGAAAACAAAGGAGAAGTTGGGTCTTTATAGCAAGATGTCATAGTCTTCATGGTCCGTGACTCACCACTGCCATTCTGAAATTTTGCCTGGAGTTTGTAAGGCTGATGTTGAGCTACTACTTTGCCATTAATCGACTCCTAAATTGAAAGGTTTACATTTGTTTTTAAAAAAAGTGGTGATCTTGAAAGTTTTAACAATTTTTACTTTTTGAAGATTTCATTATATTCCTCCCCAGGGCAAGTTAGCAGTACTCAGCCTCTGGGAGGAAGCAAGTGCAACTTCTGCAGGGCTGGACAGGGTTTCATCCACCTAGAGCATACCTCCATTTAATCCCAACCTCCAGCATCTGGAAAAGGATATCCCTTTGTTCCTAGTGCTCTACTGGAGAGCTGCAATGGCTCAGCTCTGTGGTCTGGTTTTCAGCCTCACCTCTGTGCCTGGGAAGATCATGGAACAGATTATTGGTTGGATAGTCACATCCAGAGGGCAGTGGTCAACGGCTCAATGTCCAGATGGAGATCGGTAACAAGTGGTGTCCCTCAGGGGTCCGTATTGGGACCAGTACTGCTTAATATCTTCATCAGTGACACAGACAGGGCAATCAAGTGCACCCTCAGCAAGTTTGCAGATGATACCAAGTTGAGTGGTGTGGTTGACGTGCCTGAGGGATGGGATGCCATCCAGAGGGACCTGGACAAGCTCAACAAGTAGGCCCATGACGTTCACATGAGGTTCAGCAAGGCCAAGTGTAAGGTCCTGCATATCCCTTGGGGCAACACCTGGTATCAATACAGGCTGGGGGATGAAGGGATTGAGAGCAGCCCTGCAGAGAAGAACTTGGGAGTACTGGTGGATGAAAAGCTGGGCATGATCTGGCGATGTGCACTTGCAGCCCAGAAAGCCAACCGTATCCTGTGCTGCATCAAAAGCAGCTTGACCAGCAGGTTGAGGGAGGGGATTCTGCCCCTCTACTCCGCTCCTGTGAGACCGCCCCTGCAGTGCTGTGGTCCAGCTCTGGAGCCCTCACCACAGGAAAGACATGGAGCTGTTGGAGTGAGTCCAGAGGAGGCCACGAAGATGATCAGAGGGCTGGAGCACCTCTCCTGTGAAGACAGGCTGAGAGAGTTGGGGTTGTTCAGCCTGGAGAAGAGAAGGCTCCCGGGAGAACTTATAGCACCTTCCAGTACTTAAAGGGGGCTTATAAGAAAGATGGGGACAAACTTTATAACAGGGCCTTATTGCTGTTGCAGTAAGACAAGGGACAATGGTCTTAAACTAAGAGAGGGTAGATTTAGACTAGAAAAGGAATTTTTTTTTTTTTTTTACAATGAGATTGGTGAAACACTGGAACAGGTTGGCCAGAGAGGTGGTAGATGCCCCATCCCTGGAAACATTCAAGGTCAGGTTGGATGGGGCTCTGAGCAACTTAATCTAGTTGAAGATGTCTCTGCTCACTGCAGGGGGGTTGGACTAGATGACCTTTAAAGGTCCCTTCCAACCCATACCATTCTATGATTATAAATCTCTTCACTTATGCTAAACTGGCTATAAGTCCCAAACAAGTGAGGGAACCCTAAAGGCAGGTAAACCAAGTAAAATCAGTCTCTCCTAGAATATCGTGATATTCTCCTAGAATATCACGATGGTGGACTGATATAATTCAGACCAAGAAATCTTGATTTGCTGCTCTACAAACAGTTACCATGAACAGATCAACAGTTGCACTTACTTTTGTGCATAATGGTGTGAAATAAACATTGCTGAATGGATTATTCTGTTTGTATTAGAAAACATAAGGAGGGCTTAAGAATGTTTTTTTGCAAAAGTGCAAACTAAAAAGAAAAACGTGATAGACCAAAAAATGAAGCTAGACTTTACTTTCAGAGATGCTTCTCAGCCAAACAAAACATTGTTCAGTCTTTTCTTTCCCTCCTATCCCCACCTCTTATCAAGTCTTCAGTGTCATCATGTATTCAGAGAGTCTCTATTCATGTAAGAAAAAAAACCCCAACCTCCCATACCCAGGCCTGCATTAATCTATAGGGAAAAAGCCAGAATATCCAGTCAAAATATTTTGATAAAGTATTGCTTTTTATAACAAAAGCAAGTACTGAATTTGAAGTATCAAACTTGCCTTCATGCTTCTGAAATTCCTCTTCTGTGAAATTAATGTCTTTGTGAGACAAGTTTGTCATCAGTTGTTTATTCTCCTCCTGCAGCTGTGCAATTTGGGTAAGAAGGTCCTGTGCTTCCCCTCTCCAGACATCCTCCACCAGTTCTAATTCCTAAAGGGTAGACCGGGACAACACATTTATATTTTTAAACACGTTAGGAGTCTTTGACTGGACTATTTACAGATCGGACTAGTAACAATCCTACTATGATTCTTACAGAAAACAATTAAATGAGACTACTTCGAATTTCTTAGAAGACATCTACTTTATAATGCCAGCATCAAGGAACCAAGTATCAAAGTCTCCTTAGGCTATATGCTGAATGTAAATACGTGAGGAGATAATTCCTGATGCAAACATTTTTGACATGCAAGTTACCAAAAGGATGGCTCCTTATGCCTCATTTTGCTGTGAGGACCAGGTTAAGGAGACTGCTGTGTCAGACAAGATAACCAAATATAAGCAAGAATTACCTCCTGCATCCCAGGAAGCAGCCGCAAAGGCTGTTATAAATGCCCCAGAAACTTCACACAATGTGGGCCAGGGGAGTCAGTGTTAGACACGCTCATTTTGAAAGAGTAGCATCTCTAGTCTAAATTTCTGTTATGAAACAAAGTATAAAATAATGAGCGCATAATACTGTGCAGCAAACCCTGAACTCCTAGTCCACGTGGTAAAGACAAGACAAAACTGTGCTTCATCTTATATAAATTGTTCTATATGGAATGTCTTCAGTGGCGTCTATGTTAGTCAAAACAACAGCTCCCATTTGTCAGGACACTGTGTGTCAAGAGCAGCTGTCACCAATCCTTGTAAAGGTCAAATTAGGACAAAAAGTATAAAGTCCTCAAGGAAAATCAGTTGTATTTAGAGCTTTACTTGTTCCAAAAGCCTTTGCCATAAATCATAATTCTGCAGTGGGGGGCATGCTCTGCTCCATTTTCATGTATGTGCTTGAAACAAAAAAAGCCACATGCAAATCACTGGAGCCAGGCTGAGTCACTTGCTGACTTTTACATTTATCCCGCACGCCCCTTTCCTACCTAACAACAAAACACATTCAGACAGCAACCCCGCCAAGCACAGCTCTAGGCTAAAATAAGCTCTACTGAGAGATTAAAGGATAGCTTTCTGTTTTGAATGTATGCTCTGATAATGGGAAACCATGTTCCTATTGACTTTCGGGTCCAAATGCCATTTCATTCCAGCATTTATTGTTGCATTGCTGTCATTTTATAAAGCCTATAAGCATGTTAAAAGTTTTGCAGAACACACTAGATGACAAAGATTATACATAACATACAGATATTGTGAGCTATGCAGACTTAATTATTATGAAGTAAAGAAAATTTCATGAATCACCTCTATTTTACTTGAAACTCTTTATCTTGAGGGAAAAGAAAATCTGTAATGAAACTTTATATTGCCAAATACCTAGACTATTTACAGTGATGCTGCATATTATAACTCTGTAGCTAAAATAACATGCTGACCTAGTTTAGATAATAAACCAGCACATTCATCAGTTATAAGCATACTGATAAAATAGAACACACACAAGCCCCCAAACTATCTGAACTTGTATCATTTGTGTGGTTGCACTGTAAACACACAACTACATTAAGGTTTGCCTAGGCAAACTTTCTTATTTATTGCTATTGAAGAGCCCAATGAATTGGAGCAGAAATTAACTTCTGAACTCTCATTAGCAGAAGAATCAGACAGAGAAGGCAGATCTACAGGTGGGAAGGTGCCAGCCAGCTCAGGAAACCCCAGGCGATGCTAAGCCAGGTTTATAGACAAGTGTTAAAAATATCATAAACTGATGCTTGCCAAGGACCACTAAAAGCTTGTCTAGGTTGGGTTTTGGAGGCTTTTGGGTCACAAATATTTCTCAGTCTCTGGCTTTTTCTGTTTATCAGTACCTGTCCTGTGAGAGAGTTAGTCTTCAAACCCTCACACTGGAAGACAGATGGATGCGACACTGCTCTTCTATAAGGACTTAGTGCACTGGGAATCAACTTAATGAAAAAAAATACATATGTATCATATATTTTATTTTCCTTTTTAAAATGTTTCCATCAAAGTTTCATCTGGATTGTCTGAACACTCCATGAGCCATTTTGTGACTATTAGAGAAGCTGGCAGAGCAGAGATGGTTAACCGGTGGGTATAAGTTGACATCTGGCAAGCACAGCGTTAGGCAGTTGACATGCTTAGGAAACTTTTTAACACATAGAGGAACTTCAGAAGCAGCTACAAAGAACATCAACTTATACAATGATGCCGGGTGGTGCTACCAGGCCTAGTTCAGTACCCACTTCACCATGCAGCGTTTTGTTAGTATCTGAGATAAAGCATTACTGTCGACTGGCAATACTGTGGTCTCTGTGCAATCACTGGGGAGATGTGACTTATGGCAGTTCTTCCCAGAGGTGACATGCCCTCAGAAAACCTCCTGGCAGCTAGGGCTCAGGGAGTTAATTCGTTTCTAGCAGAGGGCCCAGACACAGTATGGGACCAGCGCAACAGATCACCCACTTGCCTCCAAGTTAGATCTGTTAGAAGGGCGAAGGCGCAGTTTTGGCACATGTACTTGTATCTATTCTCTAGACTTTCTTACTTTGTACTCTGAAGACTTACATTAAAGATCTTCTACCATCCTTTCCAGAGACACTGCCCTGAGACTTCCTCTGCAAAATGTTGCAGGAATTATCCAGGGTTTTTCATACGCTAAGCAAAAGTCCCCTAGCTGACCCTTTTTAAAACATAAAACTTGAATTTATTTAAACTAAAGCCAACTCTTGAAGTTTTTGAGGTCTCTCTTCCAGAAATTCCCTGTCTCCTCTTTACTCTGAATCTGTGTGTGCAAGCAGGAACAATGATGATTTAGCACAATCACTTACTAGAAGAACCATTTCTTTAAATCAGTTACCTGGATGGTCCTGCCACTACATGAGGGTAAGAGGATATGGGAAACAATGGTCTCTGCCTTGGGCTTTCATAGGAGTGGTGTCAAGGAACACTATGACCACCTCAGACCAAACCAAGGGACATCATCTTACCATCAGAGGATGGAGCAGGAATCTCTGAGTGCTCTTCCCTACTCTTTAGCTCTAACAGTGCCCTGAAATCACTTGGTCCTCCCTCTCTCTCCTATGACTTGCCTACCCGATGAGTGCACCAGAAAGACTAGACTGCTAAATCATACACAGCTCTGGAGAGAAGAGTGTATTATTGCCAGTGACCCTTCCTGGCCTAGCAGGAAGGCAGCACTATCCTCTCTCTCGTCAGGAGAGGGGATGGAGCAGGAGTCCTAATCGGGGAGACACAAGGGGAAGGAAATGCAGTGACTGGGGAAGGGGTGGAGAAAGGCAAGGAGGACGGAAACTTCCAGGAGGGAAGGAAAAAAAAAAAAAACCAAACCAAACCCAAAC